GCCCTTCATAGCTGGAGTTGCTCAGTGCTGATGAAGTAAGTGAGGAATCTCAGGACCTCTCTGCCAGACCTCTGTAGGTGCATAGAGGGATCAACATCCTTAGCTCTCCTTGCGCACAGGAGCAGCCCTGTGTTGGCCAAAGGCAGCAGTCTCCTCCTGCCCTTTATGCTGGAGATGCGAATTTCTATGCAGCAGTTCACTGTGCCTGGCTCCTGTTACAGGAGGGAAAGGGGAGCAGCGCCTGCCCTTGCAGCGCCTGGGCAGGACTGTCACAGTCTGCGGCGCTGGGGCTGCTGCTGCAGCAGGAGCCAGAGCAGCTCTTGGCGCGGATGTTACTGGCAGCACAGCCCAGGGAAGGGCTCGAGCAGCCTCGGAAGGGGACACAGTTACCCCTGCCTTAAAAGAGGAGGTGGAGGTGGAGGCTGAGCAGCAGAGAGCCTCCAGGTTCTCTTCCTGAGTTAGTTAGGAACTCCTGTTCCAGTACATTTTTTTCATCCCCAGAGTAGCCAGTCACTTGCAGAAACACATGCTTTTGCTGTTGCCAAGTCAGGCCAAGTGACATTTTCGTGTGGCCAAATTTGGCTAGCACACTGTCACATGGACCATGCAGATCTGAGGCTTTTTTGTAAAAAAAAAAAAAGAGTGGCATTTTTATTTCATCTTATCGTCTTCTATTCTTGGCTTTCATCTTTAAGAGACTTTTTATTCTTACCAACAAAAATGTACAGAGGTGCACCAAATCCAGGTTTTTTCCCCTTTTTGTGCCTAAATCTAGGCTTACAGATAGTTGCATGGCAGGCAGTTTGTCTCTGCAAGTCATTGCAGGTCATGTTTCTTTCTCTTTGTATTTTTTGTTTGCTTTTACTTACTGATATTTCTGTTTTCTATCAAGTAATATGACAGCATAGCTCAAGGTTACTGTGTCTTACTGTGTCTTCATCAAGTAAGTGCTGAAGATGAAGTAGTTTTGAAACGGCACAGGAAAAATAAGAAATTGGTGGTCTCCAGTTTCTAGAGTCTAGTCCCCTAGCTTGTCAGAGTAGGATTGATTGTATTAACCAGTTTAGCTGCAATAGCCCTGACTCCATATGGAAGACAGTTGATAGATGAGCAATCTCATCAAAAAGCATTTCTGATATATAGCTTGTTTTGCATTAGCCTTATTGAAGAAATGTCAGAAAATTGAATTACTCTTTTTTTTTTTTTTCTTGAAACTTACCGATACTGTGTTAGACATAAATCTGCAAAGATGAGGAAGAAAGCAGGAGAATAAAGTTGGCAGATGAATTTACTGTCACATGGGATTTTTCAGATTTAGCACTACATGGTTGGATTTTCCATTTGCTTTTCAGGCTTTCCATCTATGCCATTAAATGTAGTTTTCTAAAACAGTCAGCATAGGAGTGAAGTGCATTTCATTTGTGTTGGAAGATTCCCATCTTAACCACTAAGAAAAGGAGAAATGATTGAAGAGAGTAGCTAAAGAAAACAGATTGATATGCATGAATGAAATGAGGGGGTATTTTTGCTTATTTAGGAGAGTTTCACTGGTGTAAAATGAGCAAAAAGATATAAAAGCATCTGGGAGAGTGGTGAAAGCTGCAAGAGCAACTGGCAGGTCAGAAGCGATGAGGAAGTTAAAGAGAAATGGTGCAATGAGGTAGCAGTGGTGTGAGAATTACTGAGTTTTGCTTAGAGGGAGGAGCACATGGCTCTGGAATTAAAACTACCTCAAGGCGAAAAATAGCTGCTGAGGTTTTATCGCTGCCCTCCTCCCCAAAATAAAGAACTATTTGGTACCTTTTTTCCTATGAGGTTTAGAACTACTTCATTGGAAAGCATTTTTGTTAATGAAAAATTAAAGTGCTTAGTATTTTCCTTGAGAGTATGACTCTGAATATGAACATCTCAGGTTCTCCTGGGAATGACTGCAGTAGATTCCACTACCTGAGCATTTTATTATCATAAATAAATTACTGGTTGGTTTCCTCTCCTGTAATCTATTTCTCCCGTTTAGTATTTCCTATTGCCTTTTACTTACAGGCTGACCTTTCAGGTGCTTCCAGCTGAACCTTAGTTTGCTTCATGTGCATCATCTATTATTTCAGGCACTCCTGAAAATATTCTTTCAAGTACATGATTTTAAAGTGACTTTGTACAGGTGCTGAATTAGCAGCATTGTTTAGGACTAACATTTTATGTTGCTAATTGCAGCCTCATAGTTACTGCCATGTTTTTTCCCCTTGGGTAAGGGGATATTAAGTTTGTTACACTGTGTAGATTTACACACTGCAGACCAAGCAAGTCTTGCTAATGCTTGTTTCAAGTTACATACATTCTTTATGTATGTAATGGCATGAATATCAAAATATATAAAGTGTGCTTATGGATATGCATTTTATTGCATTATAGATAACACCCTAGCAATCCTCTATAGCCACTAATAGATTTCTCCAAGTTTAAATCAGAGTCGTATACAACTTAGCCATACATAACTGGTTACGAGCGGGTCGTGTAAACTCATTTGAATTTGGTAGTCTATTACTTCCTTAATATGCTTAGGTTTGAAATTGTATCAAGACAACTTACTATCTAACAGCAAAGTAATATCTAACTGTTAAGGAATGTTCCCCCTCTACAATGCTGTCAGATTTCATCTTTATATGGCTGTAAAGCCAGAGCTGAAAAATCCTGAAACAGCTGAAGCTATTTATGAAGATATAATTTATGTACATTGATATAAAGAAGCAAATTTGACTGTGCGTATGTTTAAGGTAAATTCTGATTAATGAGTTGCACAGAATTTAGGAGAAGCCCATGGAGAAAACTATGTTACGATATACTGTCTTGTTATTTTGGAAATAATTCACATACATGGAGAAAGAAAACCTGCCTCTGCTTAGTGACTTTAGTAGAGATACTGTCTAGTCTAACAGCAAGAGCCGATATTTTATGTTCTTTCTGTTGCTCTATTTTACAAAGTTTCTTGCAAGTCAATTAGTCCCCAAGGCTTTTCTTTTTAAGCAAGCAGTAAGCTGATTTTTTTTTTTTTTTTCTCCCCTGCCACAGTGGTATCTAAGTTGTCATGACCAGAGACAGTCAGTGTGTCATTGTGAATGCACTTGTGTTCCTAATGAAGTTTATATTGAAAGCCAAGGATTTTGTACAATCTTTCAGGTCATTTTTATAATAGAGTGGTCAGATTCTTACGATGTTCTGGATTGGTCCTGTTCTAGTGAAGTGTAAGTGATTCTTGCAGTGTTTGAGACTGACTTGCACATTTTCCCTGAATAGCTATGTTGAAAACCTCCAATGGCATACTTAATGTCAGCTTTGATTGTTGTGTCTTAATCTTGGAAACATGGATAGTAAACATATTATGCCAGGGCTTCAGTCAGCATTTTGTAGATTAAATAAAAGCTTAACTATAGTAACTTTCTGAGTGGGATTTGTACTGATGCAAAAACCTCCTGCATTTTTCGTAATACTGACTTCCAGGAAGTACCATTATTGGTGACAGGATGCGTTCCCTTCCCTTAAACAAAGTTTTAACATGCAGTTATATCCCTCTGTTGTCAAAGTGCATCTCAATTCTCTTAACTTTAATCATATTAGTCAGGTAAACTCAGAGGAGGTTACTGTACTTGGGGGATGCTGATGACTTATTTTTGCAACAGTCAAAGTCTGAACATTAGGAGAAGAAAATCCTTACCATCGTGGCTGGCTGTTTAGTGCACATGTTGTCATAGTTGCATGACAAAGTGTAGCACTCTGCAGAGCTGTGGTTATGACAGGGATCAGAATTCACATGTACAGAGGCTATACCAGCACAACCATTAACATGGGTACTGATACATATCTTCACGGGCTTCATTAGTTTATTATGTGATAAACACCATGTAAAGAGCATTGGGTCATAACTACATTATGGTTAAATTTGTATTTTATAAGGTTTGTAGATTTTTCTGGGGAAAAGCAGACTTTTGAATTATATAACTTCCATGATAAAGATGCATGTATAATTAGAAAAAAAACTATCTATGCTTACTTGATAATGAAGGAATAAATACTACTAATGCTAAGTGTGTTGATGAACTTTTTTTTCCTAAAATATGGACTGACATCTGCAGTATTTTTAGTAAGGACAGGCATGCTGTGGGTCTGTGTGTACTACGTAAGACTTCCTAAGACAACTATGACTGGAGCTTATACTTTTGGAGTGCTGTCTGTCAGCAACTATATGAAGAGAAGCTCCAAAAAATTGTAAGCATGCAACTGGACAGCACTGTAAAAGGAAAACCTAGTACTGGAGGGAATAGTCAAAATACATGATGGATGAAACACATCAGTACCTGAGAATGTGATGCAGAACCAACACATCTCTCAGAAATAGTGCCTTGTTGTTGAAACATTGGTATTTCACACTAGCTGCTGTGATAAGCAGAGGTTTCTATAGCTGTTAATCCCATTTCACTGCTTAGAATGTTGGATTGCTTCATTGAGTGAAAAAAAAATAAACTTACTTAAGCTGCTCTTCAGAACTTCACTGTAGGACTTCACAAATAAACACTACTCCTTGGCAAGAGAAAGGGAAGTACAAGAGAAAAAAAGAACTGTCTTCCTCATTTTAGTTAAATCCTTGACCTTTAACTAAACCCTGAGTTTAACCCTGCAATGGGGATAGTGTTACCTGTTATGACAGGCTTTAACTTAGCGATAACACAAGGTCTGCAGCCCTACATTTTACAGTTCCTTAACTTTTCACACTAAGCATTTAAAATACTACTGCCATAACTTTCAGGTAGTTTATATGCCAGTAGATACATAGAATGAGATCACCAATACTTACATTTTGGGATTCTGCCCATTTTCTTCAGGAGGTGAGGGCAAAATGCTGGTATTCCTTAATATACATAGGAGAGAAAAATTCCAAAAGAAAAAAGCAGCTGCACAACAGTCTTATCCACGACAACATTCCCTTCAAAATATACATGTAATAATTATGTACAGCTGAGGTTGTAGGTTCCTATGATGTTTTTCTGTCCATAAAGATCATATTCCTTGTATAGTATGTAGTCTTTTAAGCAGTTTGGCAGTGGAAGGAAGGTCATGAAGACAGGACAACGGAGGCGCAACCGGCCCATGCATTCCCGTATCTTCAGACGACAAAGATGCTTCAGAGAGCGAGGATTTGCTATAAATGAGAAGGCAAGATTGATATTAGTAAGTTACTAAATTTTGTTCAATTTATTTATTCAATACTCTGCTACTTTTCAAAAGCTTTGTTCCTGATTTTGCTGCATATTCATGCTGTGAATAAATGGATACAATGAATGTGGCTGTCCCTGGACAACATGGCCTGTCAGGATGTAGCGTTTTCATCTCGGCCCATACATGTCTCAGGTATAGTTAGAATCGTTGGCAGCTAAAGCAACAGACTTTGTTTCTGTCGAGTTGGGTAAATGTACGTTAATGCAAGTCTGGGGAATGTGCTTTAACCCCAAATGACTGGTGCCAGTTTTCTGTCAACCTGAAGAAGCTACTAGAAGTTTGGGTCACTACTTCTTAATCTGTATACAAGCAAAAAGGACATAGAAATAATCTAGACAAGAATAAAATCACTCATTTAAAAATAGTGATTTATTAGATTTGTTCCATCAATATGAGGCAGGGGGGAAAGCTTTTCTGTCCTTGAAGAGCATTGTGTTGTCTACATTCTAATTCAAGTTCCCAAGTGCTCTACATAAATTGTGCAGTTACCATCTATCAGACTTTTGAGAGAAACTGAGTTTAAATCCTAGCTAGACTGATTTTTAAGAGGTCTCTTACTGTTAAAACATAACTTTTGACCTAACAAGGCTCAAGAAAAGCACCAGTCTGAGGTGAAGAAAATGAAAACTAAAATACTAGCAACAAAAAAGGCCCCAATCCCAAACCACTTTGTCATTTCAAATGTAAACATCAGATACTTACTTAAAATCAAATTGATATCTGGCCAGAGTTCCTGTTCTTTGAGAACCGCTTCTAGCTTCCAGCAGATATTAACATGATCGACGTAGTCTAGCATTACTCGCACTACTTTTCCAGACAGATGCTTCAACCATGACAAAGTTATCACTTCACAGAACTGATAGAAACAAAATGTTTGATAGAATAACGTTCAATACTCTTGTAAATGACTTCCGCCGCTGCAGGACAAGAGCAATTAAATAACCTCAGCAGAGTGCCAGGAAAATGAGTGTTCTGTCAGCGAGGGAAGCTTTAGAGGCTGTTGCAGCTTGCATTAAGCCTCACTAGCAGAATCTGAAAATAAGAGATGGTTATTTTGTACTAGATCCAAAAATGAACTTAAGCAGCTGTATATTTGGTAACTAAGTGCTTAAAAAGAAGTGCTACCACTCACTAAGTGGAATTTAGACTTGAGTCCCACCATGCTGAACAGGGGTACCCACCAGCCCAGTGCATGCCACACCCCCTTTTCTTCAGGTTAAAGAAGGTTTTATTGGGGTTGAGTGGACTTTACAAACTGCAAAGCAGTGACGCTGATGGGTGTCTCTAGGAACCTCTTTAGATCTGTCCAGGTTTGTTAATTTCTGTGCAGTGCTTATCATGCCAGCTCCAGGGGGTCCTTACAACAGCCTCCCAGTATCAGTGTTATGCTACAAGACAACCCAGTGAGCCAGCCTGCAAGTCCCTGCTTTCACAGCATGGACAAGACTGCCCTGGAGAGCCAATTCTGTACTGATCGTTAGCATATCATTAGCTATACTTTCACAATTGAAAAATACTGTTTATCGTCATTTGCTGCCATGAACCAGGCCTCATGGCAACATCTGTTTAATTTTAAAGCCTTGACTATTCCTACCTTTATGTGTAAACTGTCTTAGAGTTTCAAAACTTCCTTTTCTGACACTGCATTAAGAACATTTTCATTCAATTTTAGGAAGGATGCTGGTAGTAAAACAACGTATGAAGCCATCTGATATACTCACCATCGCATCTTTGATAACGGTGGAAGTCCATCCATCAGTCACATACTGGGAATGAGAACTGCTTCCCTGAGGGCAATCGAAGCAGCGGTGCACATCGTACCCATAGTTCATCAGCATTCTTAACATGACTTCATCTTTCAGAGCATACTGTAGAGCTGATGGAAAATGCGTTGTATTGACTCTGCAGAAGTAATTGACATTAGCCCCATGGCGGAGCAGTAGATTCATTAACTCATAGTTGCCCATTCTCAAGGCTATTTGGAGACAGTTGATGGGATCTTGGTTTGGCAGGGCTCCAGCATTCAACAGCAACTGTGTTGAACAGATATCCCCGTTGGAAACAGCAAAGTACAATGCTGATTTCCGGTGGTCGTCGTAGCCTTTGCGAACTCTTTGATCCAGCATAAAATTGGCATCAAACCCAGATTTGAGGAGAAACTCAAGGCACTGAGGATGTGCACCTGCTGCAGCTGAGTGAACTGGACTTATCCCACTTTCTTTAATGGCATCAAAATTAGTAACTGGAACTAAATTTTTTAGGGCTCTGAAGAATTAAAAAAGAAGAATCTCAGAATCTTAAACATACTGGTTCACCTTGCTTAGTCTTTGAATTTCTCTGTGTTGCCGGGCTTCAGAATTCATCATAACTGTATACAATTGTCTTAATCTACCAAATCGGTAGCACAGCATGCTATACCTCTGCATTGACTTTAACTGCTAGCAATTAAATTGTTAGTCAGCAATGGATACTGACTTTACACCACTACACTACTAGACATGAAATAGTATCCTATTAACACTATTCATGAACAACCCCATTCCTTGCTAAAGGAATAATGATTCCTTCTCAATAGAAGCTTTTCCTGAATGTTGAGAGCATAATGCTACTGCTTAACCTATAGGAATTAGGGAATTAATAGAATATAATATATTATACCATGAAAATGTATAATATGTAATTTGATATATACATATAACTTTAAATATAATTTAAGGAATATATATA